CCCCGGCTACCCAGGCCATGATGGCCCCCAGGGGGCCCCTGGGCGGGAGGGAAAGCCAGGACCCCCAGGCCCTCCAGGAGCCGTGGGGCCACCTGGTTTCCCTGGGGCTGAAGGACTTCCAGGGTCTCCAGGCTCAGCTGGACCAGAAGGACCCCCAGGGGCACCTGGACTCCCAGGATCTCAGGGTCCCCCTGGGGTTCCTGGGCACGAAGGACCCCCTGGTCCCCCAGGATCTGCATCAGTCCCTGGAAAACCAGGGCTCCGAGGGGAGCCAGGATTCCCAGGACCAAAGGTAAGGGGGTCCCAGCCCACCCTGTCCATGCGCTGGGGTGGGCTACCTGAGCTCACCAGCCCCTTGCCCTGCCCTGGGGGAGCAGCCCCATTACCAAATCCTCAGGGGGCTCCAGGACTGCCCCAATCCTGCCACTGTGGGGGAACACAGGGGCTCAACTCCACACTCACCACCCTGTGCCATCTGCCCTCAGGGTGACAAGGGCGAGTATGGGCTGCCAGGCATGCCAGGGAGCCCTGGCCGGACCGGAGAGCCAGGACCCCCAGGCATGCCCGGTCCCATGGGGCCACCAGGACCACCAGGGGACTACAGGGTGAGTAGAGGGTCCTGGGCTGTGGGTCCTAGGGAGGGGGCACCCCAGTGTCACCCCACACATCCTCTCTTTGCAGTGTGACTCACGCCACGCTGGACACCGTGGATTGGCCGGGCTGCCGGGCCCCAAGGTGAGCCAGGCAGTGGCACCATGGGCAGGGGTCCTGGAGCAGGGGCACTGGCCAAGGCACCCTGCCCAAACAGCTCCATGGCGGGTGGTACCCTGGTTGTGAGGCACAGCACTGCCTGGGGGGGTTGGGAGGCCTGGGGACCCCCAGAGCTGGGCACTGACAGGATCTCTCACTTCCCTTCCAGGGAGAAAAGGGTGACCCTGGAGAGCTGGTTTGTAGCCATGAGCAGCAGCGTGGGGGAAGCTGGCTGGGGGGGTCCCATCCCCACACCTGAGTGTGCACCCCTGAGCCCTCCATGCTGCCTTTGCTCCCTCTTCACCTCCCCCCAGGGCATGGGGCACAGGGTGGGGAATGAGGGACACCATGGCACGTGGAGAGGCACATGTGTGCACATCTGTGCCACCCATAAACATCCCCAGCACACCCCAGCACCCAGACACAGCACAGGCTCTAACCCTGCCTCCCTCTGTGGCTCACCCAGGGGTGCTGCTATGGGAATCACAGGTGCAAACCAGGCCACCTCCCCTTCCTCAGCACTGGCAGCCAGCCTGGCTCCTGGGGGTCCATCAACAGGTACCAGACGGTGAGTGGCCAGGGGAAGGGGTGCCTGGGGACCTCAGCCCTGCCTTGGGGACATGGTTCACCCCATCAGCAACACCACAGGACCCATCGTCCCAGATGGGGTAGATGAAGGGGAAGGGGAGAATGGAAAATGGAGAGAGGGAGGATGGAGATCAGTCTCAGTCTTCTCCCTCTCCCTTTGCAGGATGGCAAAGAGGAACCAGAGATCTATGGAGCGATCATCCCCCATGTGAGAGTCACTCCCTGGCCAGTGTCTGTGGTGCCCCAGCCAGGGACATTCAGCCCTGGGAGGGGATGGGAGTGGGAAGCATGGGAGACATCAGCTGGGTGTCATAGCTGCCCCCCTAAAAGGCAGCACCAAAATAGCCCAGTCCAATCTCCACACTGCTTTACTGCAGGGTCTTCGAGGTCCCCCCGGGATCCCCGGCCCTCCTGGGCCCCCTGGCCCTCCTGGCCCACCAGGTCTCCTCTATTTCAACGTAAGGCCCAGCACTGGTGTTCACACGCCTGTGCCAGAGCACACACACGTGTGTGTGAGCGTGCACAGCACCAGGGCCCCCCCAAACCTGCCTGTCTTTGGTTCCAGAGGGTGCACCCTGTGCATGCCCAGCCACCCTGCAAGCAGCCGGTAAGACACGGCCTCACTGTCCCCAAGAGTGTCCCTGTCCCCCTCCCTGTGCCCAGCAGCAGACACAGGCTCCGTTTCCCCTCACAGGCATCTGCAGACCGCAGCTGGCCATCAGGTGAGGGCGTTTCCCAGGTGTTTTGGGGGCTCCAGCCACCTTGGGGACACCTTTCCTGAAGCTTTGCCTCCCCTCCTTGGGCGCCGGGACCGTGGCAGCACGGGTCCCTGGCACCACTGCTGGCTCTCCCACCCACTCCCACCACATCCCTGTGGGACCAGTTCCCATGGGAGCACCCAGGACCGATGCTGGGACACCTTGTGACCCCCCACCATCTCTGGGCTCTCCAGCTGCTGGTGTCCCTCAGACAGAGCCATCGGACTCCCGTGCTGATCTCCGGGTGAGTCCAGACTGTGGCCCTGGGCAAACCCCCGCAGCTGCCCCGTACCACACAGCAGGACCCTCACCCTCTGCACTCCCCCAGCGCCAGACATGGGTTTTCAAGTCCAAGGAGCTGATGGTGAAGGCGAGCAGTGCTGTGCCCGAGGGGAGCCTGGTCTATGTGCGGGAAGGGAGCAACGCCTTCCTCCGGACCCCCACTGGCTGGAGCCGCCTCCTGGTACCGTGTGGGGTCCCTTGCAGGGCTGGGGGGGCAGGATCCAGAGCTGGATTTGGCACTAGGACAGCAAATCCCCAGGAAGGAGAGGATTCTCCCTAACCTTTCCCTCTACTCGTGTCATTGAGCAGCTGGAGGATCCAAAATCCTTTTTGGCTGGTGATGACCCTTCTGCCTCCACCCCACAGTACCAGGTGAGGGGTGTAGGAACTGCAGGGTCCACTCATGTCCCTGTAAGAGGACAGACCCCTCCTCTGCATGATGGATGGGACAGACCACACAGAACTGTTCTCTCCCTCTTCTTCCACCTCTCCATCCAGGAGGCAAAGAGGGTGCAGCCAAGAGGCCCCAACACGCTGTCACCCATGCAGTCTCCAACAGACTCACTGGTGAGCCCTGCTGAGGGTCTGGCCATGCTGGGAGGGATGTGCCATAGGAATGGGCTGGATGTCAGCAGGACAGTGCCAGCTTAGCATGAGCAGAGCCTGGGGTCATGTTGGTCAGAGGTGGGTGCCCCCCACTCATGGCACATGGATGGGTGTCCCCAGATTGAACTGAGCTGTGTTTTTGCAGATCCAGAAGGAGGAAGAACAAGGGCTGCCCCAGATTCTGCCAACCACCATTGCCCCACGGATCCCATCTGTAAGGAATGCCTGGTCCCTGGGTGGGGATGAGTGGCCAGTCATGGGAGAGAGGGGAGAGGTGTCCAGGGGACCCCCAATCCTGGCCAGCACTGCCAGGGACTTGCACCCTCTGGGAAAGGGGGAGCAGAGACCTCAATTCCTCCCTGCCATCCCCAGCTCCGCCTGGCTGCCCTCAACGTGCCCCTGTCCGGTGACATGAGTGGGATCCGGGGCGCTGACCTGCAGTGCTACCGGCAGTCACAGGAGGCCGGGCTCTACGGCACCTTCCGGGCCTTCCTGTCAGCCCCCAGCCAGCAGCTGGTGTCCATCGTCAAGAGGACAGACAGGACCCTCCCCATTGTTAACCTGAAGGCAGGTTCCCCGTCCCTGTCCCCAGGGTGGCAAAGCCTCAGTGGGTGGGGGACCCCTACCCAGACCTGCTCTGGGGCTGCTGCACCTGGGCCATGCTCAGGGCTTTTGGGGAGCTGACAGAACCCAGAGGATGTTATTGCCCTCACATGGTGGGGACAAGGGCATTCCCCTGGCTCAGCACCACGGCTCGTGCCCACAGGGCCAGCTGCTGGCCAAGTCCTGGGGCTCCCTCTTTGGGGGTCAGGCTGGTGCCACCCTGCGGGGTCCCATCTACTCCTTCAACGGGCGTGACATCCTGACGGATCCGCTCTGGTGAGTCTGGACACGGTCCTGAACGGCTGCCCCTGTGTGGGAGCTGGAGAGGGGGGTCTGTGCTGGGTCCCTCCCAGGAGCAAAGAGCGGCGGTGCCCCAGGGTGCCCCCAGCCCCTCTCACCCCATCCCCACCCACAGGCCCCGCCGGCTGGCCTGGCACGGCTCCACACCGCTGGCCGTGCTCTGCGTCGAGGTGGCTTTTCCTTACCGGCACATGTGGTGACAACGGTGACACCCAGCCATGTGCTCCAGGCATTCCTCCAGCCCAGTGTGGCTGAGGAATGTCCCTGGGAGCACCATGGGTGGTGTCTGAGCTGTGCTGGAGCACTGAGGGGACATCGGATCCACAGCCAGGCTGTGCCATCCCATGGATCCCTGTGCCATGGGGCAATGCTAGGCTGTGCCTGCAGCCTCTCACCCCCACTGGAGCCATCAGTGTCACCACGCAGAAATAAAGATAAAAAAATGTTGTTTTTTATGACACCATGCTTTGTTCTTGGGGGGACATGGCCAGGTGCAGCAAAGGGCTGAGGGAATACACCTGGGAATGGGAACAGAGACTCAGGGGGCTGGGAACAGGCTTCAGTCCCCTTGGGATTTGCAATAACTGGGAGGGGACACCCTGGCATTGGTCCCCATGTCTGTGTTTTGATCCCAGAACAGTGTTCCAGTATATCCCAGTGGGTTGCCAGGTCTTGCTGAGTGTATTCCCGTGGGCTCCCAAGGCCTTCCCAGTGTACCCCAATGGGTGTCCAAGGTCTGGCCAGAGTATCCCAATGATTCCCAGTGTATCCCAGTGCGTGTCCAAGGTCTGTCCAGTGGCCCACTGGGTCCCTGGGGGCTGCCCAGTGTGTAGCTGTACCCCAGGGGATCCACAGGGTCTGTGCAGTGTATTCCAGTGTGTGCTCTGGGCTTCCCAGTGTATCCCCGTATGTCCCAGTACATCCCAGTGCATCCCAATACATCCCAGTACATCCCGCCACCAAAGACAAACGGCCAGCATCAGCGCCCACCCTCCGCTTCTCTATTGGTCAATCCTGCTGCCCATCTCGCCGCTCTCCCTCTCGATTGGCCGGTTTGAACGCACGGTGCGGTCTCTGATTGGTCAGGGGGCAGGCCGAACGCTGGCTGTGTGCCCGCCCCAGCACTGCGATTGGCTGCGCGTTTCGGCGGGACGAGCGGAGGTTTGAAGGGGACGTTGCACCGCCATCACCGCCTCAGCCGCTATCGCCTCTATCACCGCCTCAGCCGCTATCGCCACCATCACCATGGAGCTCTCGCAGGCCCCGTCTCCTCTCCGGGTGCGTCCTGCGATCGCTGCCCCCGACCCTGCGGGGCTTCGTGATCTCCCGCCACACCGTCCCCTCGGGGTCTCGGGTCCCCCTCAGCCTCCGCCGGACACCCGCAAATTCTTCCTGGGCCCCCTCAGGGTCTCCCCGGGCTCCTCTCTCGAGTCTTTCCCCAGCCCTTCCCTCTCCTCAGATTCCTCGCTTCTCTGTGATTCCGCTTCTCTTTGTCCTCCCAACCCCGGTCCTCTTCCGCTCTCCGGCCTGGCCCCCTCGCGTTCCCCTCGCTCACCGCCCTCACCGCCGCTGCCTTCCCCAACAGCCCGCGAACGAGAACATCCGTGTGAACAAGCCTGATGGCCCCAAGAAGCTGACGGTGGAGCACATCTACCAGAAGAAGACGCAGCTGGAGCACATCCTGCTCCGGCCAGACACCTACATCGGCTCTGTGGAGCTCGTCACCCAGGTAGGAGCAGGGGGGAGTGGGACTGAGCCCCTCGGGGCAGGCTAGAAGTCATTAGCAGCTGTTTACAAAACACGAAACATCTGCTTATCAGTCACAAAACACTTGCTTTACAAACGGATGGCACAGAAGAGGAGATGTACCTGGGCGCTTACAAATTCTTTCTTTTTTATTCCAGCAAATGTGGGTTTATGATGAAGATGTTGGCCTCAACTGCAGAGATGTGACCTTTGTGCCTGGCTTGTACAAAATCTTTGATGAGATTCTGGGTAAGCTGACAGATCCGTTGAATAAGTGAGTGATAGGTTATTAATGGGGGTTGAATGGAAGAACTAAACATAAATTATCAAGAATTTATTAGCACTACTTAGCAAGCTATTCATGGGAAACAAACTAAAAGAAAAATTTCAAAAATCCAATTACAAACCTAATTTCATTCTGCCCAAAATTCTCCCTTTTACGTTAATGGTTGCACTGGAGGAATTCACAGGTCATTTCCAACCTTCATAATTCCATGATAACTTGTTGTGCTCCTCTTTGAATTTGCAAAATATTTTCATGCTGAGATGATTATTAGTAACACTGTTGTGAGTTTTTGCTTTCATTCTACTGGAACACTTCACAGTTCATAGTTTTCCCTCGATTTGGAGCGTAATAAAAAACCAATATTCTCTTTTCTTTCTAGTCAATGCCGCAGACAACAAGCAGAGGGATAAAAACATGTCGTGCATTAAAGTCACAATTGATGTGTAAGTTTGGTTTCACTGTGGTTTGTTGGCTTCAGCTGTTCTGCAAAGCTGAGGTGGCACTGCAGGGCTCTGCCGTGGGGCTGATCCAAGATAGCCCAAATTTAAGTCACCAATTGTGAAAGTCTTTCTCTCTGCTCAGTCCCCTGATCTCTTACTGAGGGCTGACTGGGGAAAAGGCTGCTCTTTTGTTGGTGTTGTTTTCCACCTCTTCCTCTCCGTTTTCGTCCTGCTTGAGCAGAGGGGTTGGAGGGTTTTGTCTGTGGGTCCATTTCAGAGCCGGCATGTGCAGATCTGGGCATTTCAGTGTTGCCTGTCCCCCCTCTGCTGGCAGCTGCTGCACTTGCTGAGCACAGATTTGTTCCTGGTTGAAATGGTGCCTTTCCCCAGAGCCTTTCAGTGACTCCTTTCACAGCTCAGCCATTTGCAGCCTTAAAAACAGACTTTTCTTTCCCTCCCCAGAGAGAATAACACAATCAGCGTGTGGAACAACGGGAAAGGTATCCCAGTTGTTGAACACAAAGTGGAGAAGGTCTATGTGCCTGCTCTGATCTTTGGACAGCTACTGACATCCAGCAACTACGATGACAATGAGAAGAAAGTCACAGGTGGGGAAGGCTCAGATATGCACTAATATCTCTGAGCAGCTCTGAGTGTGTGACCTGAACTAGAAAGGGCAGGAAGGGGGTCCTTGATGCAGCATGAAAACTGAAAGAGGGGAAATTTAGGTGAAATAAAAGGAAGAAATTCTTCTCTTTGAGGGTGGTGAGGCCCTGGCACAGGTTGTCCAGAAAAGCTGTGGCTGCCCCATCCCTGGGAGCATCCAAGGCCAGGTTGGACAGGGCTTGAAGCAACCTGGGCTAGTGAAAGGTGCCCTGCCTACAGCAGATAGTGGGATTGGATGGGCTTTAAGGTCCCTTCCAGCCCAAATCATTCTGTGATTCTATGAAAATTACATTCTGAATCTATCAAAGAAGTCTCTGTGCTCTGTTTAATTGTAGTAACAGTGCAAACGTGGGAACAGGGAAAATTGTCTTTGAGTATTCTCTTAAACCCTAATTAAATCAAAGTTTGTAGTTGCTTACTGAGCTTGTAGAATATTGTTGCTTGTTGGCAATTGGCCTTGGATTGGGCTGACATTGACAAACTCCAGTTAGTCTTGGATTCTTTTAGATGGTTTTGGACAAAGATAATAACACGAGTCTGTGTTCCTTCTAATTCCAGGGGGGAGAAATGGTTATGGAGCCAAACTGTGCAACATATTCAGCACAAAATTTACTGTGGAAACTGGATGTCGTGAATACAAAAAGTTATTCAAGCAGGTAGGAGTGCTTTTCTTTCCAGGGAGTTTATACCTGAGGTTTTCAAATGAGAGCCTCAGGTTTTGTTTCAAAACTCTATGCATACCTTGGAGTCAGTTCATTGTGATTAGAGTAAATTTAACCCACAAAATGTAATTCAAAGGAATAATGAAATTGGCAGACAGAGTCAGACTCTGTTTTTTAACCAGAATTTATTTTTAATTTATAGGTATCTAAAACATAAACCATCTTACTGCATTTAAAAACTAAAGTAGTTATTTGTGTGTGTTTGACTTGCAACTCACCAAAGCTCCTTTCCTCAGACCTGGACAGACAATATGGGAAAGGCTGGAGAAATGAAGCTGAAATACTTTGATGGAGATGATTTCACCTGTGTTACTTTCCAACCTGATCTGTCCAAGTTCAAAATGACCATTCTGGATAAGGACATTGTAGCACTGATGTCTCGAAGAGCATATGATATTGCTGGGTCCACAAAGGACGTCAAGGTTTTCCTGAATGGACAGAGGCTTCCTGTAAGTGAGCATTGAAAAGAAACACAAATATCTACATTTTTTTTTGTGCCGTTTAACCAGTGGGATCTGTTGAGGCCATTCCTGTCATCACAAACAGAACAAAGGAACATGTACAAGATGGATTTCTGCACCTGCTTTGCAGGAGGATGTGAATTAAGTATTTATAGGAGCTGTTATCAACCAGTTGTTTGTTCTCATCTGCGTGCAGGTGAAAGGATTCCGCAGCTATGTGGACCTCTATCTGAAGGATAAGGTCGATGAAACTGGGAATGCACTTAAAGTTATCCATGAGGAAGTCAATTCCCGATGGGAAGTGTGCTTAACTTTGAGTGAAAAAGGCTTCCAGCAAGTCAGCTTTGTTAACAGCATTGCCACCACAAAGGTAACTCCTTAGTGTGTTTAGTCGAGCTAGTGCCATATTCTTCAACATTAATACTCTTGGCTATTTGTAAATGTACATATGTTAGTGAAAAATAACGTTGCAAAGAATGTGCTTAAAGTTTTACATGGATGTTTATAGTTTTGTGGGTTTTAGTGGCTTCAGTCCTTGTCCCGTTCTCCTCAGGGTGGCAGACACGTCGATTATGTGGCTGACCAGCTCGTGACCAAACTCATTGATGTTGTGAAAAAGAAGAACAAAAATGGAGTTGGAGTGAAGCCTTTCCAGGTACAATGCCAGAATTTTCCATGTGGGAAACACAACTTGAAGCATTACTGCAAATTGTGACTTCAGCTTAATGCATACTTGCATTAATTAATAACACATTTCCATTGTACAGATAATATATATAAGATTGCTAATTATAGAAGTCTCATATTGTCCAGTTTAAGCTAATTTACTTTCCTTTGCTTGAAGAATGCATTTTGTAGTCACTTTAAGTCAGTGTAGATGCACTGAACCTCAGTATCTGTTAGATAACACCTACTGAGGTGGAAAGATGCTAATTCCTTGACATCCCAAATCATCTAACGCTGTTCCTGAGTGTTCATTAGCTGTTCAAA